AAGTATTCTTGCATGGAGGGAGTACTTGAGTGGAGGCCTAATGTCCATCTGCTATCCTTAATACTAAACCTATAAACATATGCACGGGGAAGCTGGGAGTGCCAGCTCCAAGGGGCCAGTCATCTTTTCTTTAGAAAACAGCCTGGAAAAGAAGAAAACTCTAAAACTTAACAATTTGAATGACCAGGAAGCAAAAATCAGGCTTTTTCTTTATTTTCTCCTAAAAATATTTCCCCTAGATATCTGTGCATGTCACTGATATAATGGCCAAAGTCAATGGAAGCTAAATCACAAATTTGAGGAAGAAAGCATTTTGGCACTCTGCATTATTAAGGAAGAGTAAAATAAATTCTTTCAGAACAATTGAACTTTTGTCATTTTTTGAGATTCTGTAACCCACAGCTCATAGCAGCCCATTCAGCAAGTCAAAGGGCGCCAACTCATATGTGATCCCTCCATGCCAAAACCATGGAGGGCTCAACTGAGAGCTTGGGTTCCCAACTGACTACTTTGAAAAGCCTTGGTCTAAAGGGGAAGCTCACCTCTTCTCCAAGTCTCAAAACCCATCCAATTCTCATGGAAATCACAAGATCCCAAAGGTCCTTCACAAGCTCAACCTACTCTGCATTACTTGAAGAGGAGACACTCCTCAAGGGTACCTCCTCCAGAAATGATGACAGTAAGGACAGTGTCTTCAGCATAAGACTGTCATGTGAGTCCCTGGGATCGGCTGGGCTGGGCTCCCATAGTGGCCTGAGCTTACATTGGATGTGGGTATCCTTGGGTGGAAATCACATCCGCAGCATCTGCTTCCCTTGCTAGGCTACAAGTAAGTGTGTAGCAACCATTTCTCTCCTGTTCATGGTTCAATTCGATCACAATTTGTTGAATAAGGAGGCTGTCAAAAAAACTCAGTGCCTCCTGGGTAGGGTGGTCAAGTTGAAATCCTAGCTCAGGCACGCAGTTGTCAGATATGCTTGTGACAACTTCCCCTGTGGTGTGTACGTGTGCGTGTGCACGTGGGTACATGTTCGTGTCTTGTCTTTTTGCCTCACAACCAAGAAACTCCCTATTTTGCAAACTGGTTTTAGTTTAAGCCCCAATTCTATTCTAGACCCATGCCTCGTAGGGTCTATCCTTATCATCCTGAGAGTCCTCAGGTGCTCCCCACCTCAAGCAGCTCCTTTCCCCAACACTGTGTGCCCTTGAGTCAGTCTGTTTCCTGGTCTGGAACATGAGATGAGGGTAGTTTAAGAGCAAAGAGCCGATCTGTTCTGGAACACCACAGGGACAAAAATCCATGACTTGAGGGATTTAAGCCTCATGCTCCTAACAAGTTGACAGGATTGTGCTGGCAAAAATGCATGCCACCCATCCAAGTAGCTCTGAGGCAAGCAATATGCTTCTCAAGATATGGGACTTGCCCAGAGGAACCAACTCAGGGACAGTAGAAAACAGACAATATGACCATCCCAGGAGCCATTTGCCAGGAAATGTATCTTGCTTTCTTAGAGATCATAGAAACACGGAAGCAACTGAGTCTCAAGAGATCAGCTCATATGATTGGATTCTGAGCTCACTTATATGTAAGCCCCTGAAGCAAGAAAAGTTAGTTCTTATGATATGGCCCAGCTCTTTACCATGGATCACTGAAGGTATGAATGCTAGAGCAAAGTGTGGTGAAGAAATCAGATGGTGCCCAACTATTAGAAAGACTAGCATCTTAAAATCTTGTCTTTAAACAAGCAGCTATCTAAATGAGGTATCAGCTGAACCCACATGGAAGAAGCATACCAGCTGGTGTGATCCAAGAATTGTAAATAATAAAACCCAAGATCAAAGGAACGAATTGCATTAGAGCTTAAATTCTGAGTGCCCAGTTTGCAGAAAGTTATGGATGACAGTAAAAGGCTCAAATCCATGTGCAGAGTCCCCACAGGGATTAAGTCTCCATTGAACTCCCTTAGACAATGACCAGAGGTGTGAATCGTGCAGATACAGTTAAGTTTGATCTTAAGTTTTTAATTTGTTCTACTTTTTATTTTCTGCTTTCTTTAGATTGAGGATTTTCTGTTTTATTTTGTCCCTGTTGGAATTTTTTGGTATGATTTTCCTTACATAAAATCCAGTATAGGTAAATCTGTGGAGACAGAAACTAGAATAATTGTTTCTCAGGGTTATGGCAAGGGAAATTGAGGGGAAATGGGGTGCTAATAACAATGAGCACAAAAATTAAGAAAATGTTCTAAAACTGATTGTGGTGATCACACAATTCTTCTGTAAAATATACAAACAATTTAATTGCATGGCACATGAATTACATCAGTGTTTTTAAAAAGATTGTGATCATCCAGTTTCAGTTCCTTAAGAATTTCCCTTTGTTCCATGCCCTTTTAAGTAGCTGCCTGACTGTAAACCCTCAGTCACAATTATGACTTTGTTCTAATGGTCTTCCTCTAAACCAGATGATGTTTGTCTTGTTTAAGACTTAATAAACATTTTCCATAAATTATATTTGCAATTTGGAGTCTCTTTTGTACCCTCCAACAGTGCTTGTCCTTGAATTTACAGTTGGAATGCAGTGGATGAAGATACAAAAAGGATTTTAATTTACCCACATATATTCAGCTACCTATAATAAAGTCAAAAAGAGAAATAAAGTTCTGTATTATGCTCCAACATTGATGAACCTTGAGAGCATTATGCCAAGTGAAATAAGTCAGTCACAAAAGAACAAATGTAGTAGTATATTTCTATTTATATTAAATATTCTAGGGTAGGCAAGTATTCTTAGGGAATAAAGTTGTTAGTGGTCACCAGATTGAGGCAGGGTGAAGAGGGAAAGTTTAGGGGACATTAAGCTTTTGTGAAGGGTTATGGGAACAAATGAGAGTGCTGTAGGGCACAAAGAATATGCCAAATTCCAAATATAAGGAGATTATTAAGACAAGAGAAGACAAAGATGCACCACCCGGACAAGGAAGACTTAGCATGAGGCCTTAATGGCATCCAAGGATTTAAGTCAGTCGCTTAAATAGTACATGGGAGAACAAAGGAAACTGTCACAGAAGTATGATTGGTGATATATCAAGACTTGACCATTTCAGGCAGGATTATAGAATGGGAATGGACCATGACTGGGACACGTTCCTTATGCTAGACAGAGACCTTACAAGGCTGGTCCGGGACCTTCTGACCAAGGCAGTCAGGGCATGACTCATGACTAGGTGACTCCAGTGTAGCAGTCTCCATCAAGGATACACCAAGGCAAGCCCCTAAGAAGACTCCCCTTCCTAGGGCTGGATGGCATCTGGGAGCCCTGGTGCCATCATGGCTATACGTTGGGATGCTAACTTCAAGGTCAGCTGTTTGAAACCACCAGCCCCTTCGAGGGCTTTCTATAACCATGAAGTTGCAGTCTAGGAACCATAGGGACAGTTCTACCCTGTCCTATAGCGTTGCTCAGTCAAGCATCACCTCAATGGCAATGTGTTTTGTTTTGCAAGAGACTACACCTCAGGGGAAGATTGTTCACACTCCTGGTTAATGATCAGGAGTTCAGGAGTTTAGTCCCTGTGGAGACTCTGCAAATGAATTTTGAGCTTTCATTGTTGCCAACCTAGTGCTCACCATTTAAGCTAGCTCAAGAATTGCAAGGAGTTGGACTATAAAACCCATCCCAAACCCACTACCACCAAGTCCATTTCACCTTGACCCTATCGGACAGAACTACCCCTCTGGCTCTCTGAAACTGCAACTCTAAAAGTACGTGAATAAGAGACCTTGCCCTCGGGAGCATTGAAAAGAGGGGAGACAGGTACCATACACTCAAGGACAAACACGTGGGAGAAGAGAACGGGATTTATTGGTTTTGACTTTGTTGGTAGGATTGGACCAAGTTTGAGGTTGTAGGAGATTCTTGAGGCAGGGAAGAGTTGGACTTTGTACTCCTGACAGGCACTACTGTGGACCTGGTCCAGTCACTTGGGAGACCTTGAAGTAGTCATTTGAACTCTTGTCTCTTTTTATTTCAAAATCAGGGAAGCAATAATGCCTCCTGTAGCTCAAGGCTGGAGCACACAGATCTGAGCTTGGGGAAATCGGTGGTTTCAAGGATAATCCCTACCAGTTGCCTGGGATTTGATTAGGACTCAATGCAGCCCCATGTGGTCCAGAGTCAGATGGATGATTTTCCTCAAATAGATGCCCAGACCGCTCTTCTAAGGTCTTCATGGACTCCAACCTCCAGATCTTTGGTTAGCAGATGAATGTTATTTGTTTGCCCCAAGGACCCTGGAACAATTCCAGTTTTCTTGTTAATTTCAGGCTATCCAGGACAGATCTATAGATTAATATGTGAATGCTACTTAGATCCTGATCCAAATCAACTCTGCAAAAGAAGAAAAGTCCTTCATGCTGCTGAGACACTTAGGCATTTGGAGTTTGGAGATTGATTGTGTGTCTGATGCTCTTAAGGAATTGTTCATTATACCAGGTATTATAATGGCACTGTACTTTACATACTAAAATAGTTGTGGATTCTAATTTACCAATAAAGCTTCTCTATCCAAGGCTCTATGATCCCCACCAGATGGTTGGGTGCACTATGCTTCCCAGTATATAAGAGGGGACTGCTCAGTTTCTCTTACCACCCTGCTGGCTATAAGGATGAGCCATCTTTTAAGTTGCAGCAGGGAGAAACCAAGGTCCTTCAAAGAGTATACCCAAGATCTGTCTGAAATGGCCCAGACCAAATGCAGGACTGAGACTATGGGATAACTGCCTCATCCAAAAGTGTGGAACAGTGACAGGTGGGCTGGCTTCCTGGCCCATGGAGGCTAAGGCTGTGACCATGTGGCTGAATGGATGAAGAGACCAATGACTCTTCTTCCAATTTGCTGATCTTGCTTTGGCTTGAGCTTTTCCATAAGAAAGCATTTAATTGTATGATGTGAATTGTATGTCAACAACTGCTTCCTTTCTGTAAAAAAAGTTTAAGGGTACAAAAGAAACCTCATTTTGAATCTAATTTAAAAAGAACCTTTATTAAGTCTTAAGAGACAAATACAACACATCACCCGGATGAGGGAGACCACCAACCCAAGGTTGAAATGGCAGCCAAGGGCTCATAATTGAGACTCTAAAATGGGGTGTGTGGGGAAACTGTCATAAGGCATGACTGGTGGCAGAGTCACATAGAGTAACAGGCGGACCTATGCACTGAAGCATGAACTAGTCCATGATTGGGACGTGCCCACCATTGGATAGCAGTCTACTGCTTCTTCCCACATTAGCATGCGCTTCAAAGTCCAAAGGAGTGTTCGGCGTATTTAGTCTGCACCAGGTATTTAAGGTAGAGTCCAGTTCACTTAGTGAGGTTTCCAAAGCAAGTCTTTCTGAAGAGACCTACGGAGAACACTGTAAAATGTCCACAATAGTTCCATATACAGAACCTAAGACACATTCAATCTGTTCAGGGATTTATTTTCATTATTAACCATTTTGTATCAGTTGAAATTCACAAACCTCATCACCTTTGAGTTCTAGAAATCTTGATTTAGAGTGGTCAGCTCCGATGTAGGATTTTAGTCCAATGCAGTCCAGAAGTTCCTCAAAGATGATGTCTTAGTAGGTCAGAAAAGCAGCAGTTTATCTGTAAATGACAAAACTTTACTTGGCAAAGGTTAATAAATAAAAATATATATTGTCCCAAAAGACTTGATCAGAAAATTCCTGAACCAGAAACAGAGAGAGGACCACATCCTAGGCCACCAATCGATATT